ACTAGAGAAAGGGATCTATTCATTCTGGGATTGTCTGCCACAAGAAACTAATGTCGTGTGCATGTCATTAAGGGAATCACAAGCAATTATTTAGTCATCTTAGTTTATTTTCTCATAATTACAGACCAAAACCAGGTTTTGTCAGTTCCTTCTTTTGGTTAGATGGCATTAGGTTAGATAATAATAGCCAGATAAGGGTCAACCGGAGATTTGCTTCTCATTATGATTCAAAAGCAGACGAGGAACTAAGACGAATACAGAGAGATTAAATAATTTGCCTGACAAATCGAAGCTCCCCACCCACCACAACAAACACATCATTATGTTAATAGGAGATGAAAATTAAAATTGAAAATTGCTAATTGCACTTAGACATTTACAATTTATATTCTTTTAACAAGAATAATCATTTTCGCTTAACAATATATAAATCACAAACTCCTAAGACTGCAAACATTAATCTTTTTTGTGGATACCCATCTTTGAGTAGATACACTGTCTTCCCCACCCCCAAACAATTTGAAGTACATTTATCAGCTGATGCATTTGAGATTTAACAAAGAACATGCTCTCTCTCAGAGTTCAAAATTACATTTCACTTTGTAGAAATAAATATCATCTGATGTGGTGTGTTTCAGACAAAATTCCCAGTTACAGCCTCTCCACTCAGTAAGCATCAATTATCATTCTTATATATATATATATATATATATATATATATATATATATATATGTGTGTGTGTGTGTGCGCGCGCATGTCATTGAATACAACAGACAAGGTGCTTTTACTTATTATTTTTTATTAAATAGGGTAAATATTACTTACGAATTTAAATGCTCATTAAAGAATTATATTCCTGATCAATCAAAATTTGTAATTAAATAGGTCACATTACAACATGTTTAACACAAAGTCTCACTCTACACTTTTCTGACCATAGCTCAATTAGATCTCATTTAAATATTCATGGAGACCTACCGGACACTATTCATAACATACTTGTTGACAACACAAATATATTAGCATCATCTACATGCAAAAAAAGGCTAAAAATAATGGAAGCTTTATTAATAAAAACAAAAAAAAAAAACAACACTTAATAATATTAACTATGAACACGGACACAAAATCTTGACCGTGTTTTGAAAAATGAAAATATTTTATAAAACATACATACAAACTATTTGTTATTTAACAGTTTAAATATTTAATCCTTGAAAATGGCTAAATGTATAGCCGAAAGTGCTTGAATAAAAAGAACATTCGGACAGTTTTTATATAATTCATCATAGAAAAAAATTATTAGATTGCATGAGAAATTGTATAAAAAACTAAAAAGCACCTTGTCTGTCATATTCAATGAAATGTGCATGAAAGAAGGAGTGCTGCCTAAATACATATATATGAGTCAACACTGAGCAATGACAGTATATTTAATGCTTGGATGCAATGTTTTTTATTATATATATACACACACACACACACACACACACAACACAATAAAGATAAAAATATAAGTAATATATATATATATATATATATATATATATATATTACTTATTATAAAACGCAGATATTGTGTGTGTGTCTGTACGTTTATATACTGGATCGGATTTCCTACATTTTTCAACCAATTTCAACAAAACTTCACAGGACTATGTAAAATTACCTTGCGGGTGGTTCTGACAGCACCAAAAATGGGAAAAACACAATTGTTTTTGCACAAAATCAATTTGAAAACATGATTAAGAAGCATCACAAGAACGAAAGGGGGACAACTCATATCGAGTCATACTTATTATAAAACCCAGGTTGTTTGTGTGTGTGTGTGTGTGTGTTCCTTTATATATGGGATCAGATTTCCTACATTTTTCAACCGATTTCAACAAAAGTTCACTTTTTTTTGGCAGGTAGTGTTTCTTATTGTCTTGTACACTTTTTTCTTTATTTTTACATTCAGAATGCTTTAAAAATTCCATTTACAAGACAATTATTTATAATAAAATTCTATTCAATCAGTAGACTCATAACGATTGAAAACAATGTTTTTGTTTGACCAATTCGTAAAAAACAACAACAAAAAAACAAAACAAAAAAAAAAAAACTAATTAAGACATGCGTGTCCGTCAACCTTAAACAATAATCTTTGTCAATTTTATCTTTCAGTCTTTATGATGGCCGATACTTGATCTATCTCTTACTGTTACATCCCGGGACAACGCCAGGCTCTACTGCTAGTATATATATATATGTATATATCTCCATTCAAGCATGTTTGATTGAATAATCTAGACATATTATGTCTATATATATATATATATATATATATATATATATATATGTATGTATGTATGGGTTAACACTGAGCACCAACAGTATATTTCATGCTTGGATGCAATGTTTTTTATATTTTTATTATATATATATATTTAAATTGTGTGTATTTAGGCAGCATTTTTTCATTGATGCATGTTTCATTAAATATTCTTAAATGCCTATAATTTATAACGGCTTCACATACTTAATACTTCTCGTTTTAACACTCGCGTGGTCATGTGTGACATCATGAGTTGCAGCGCAATTTTCGCTTCCAGCATCTTGTACACATGAGTTTGTCATTGCTAGGAAATCTTCCATGTAAACAGAAACAGATTATCACCACTGTCTTGTCCATGTTTTACTTAATATATCGTAATGTAATTGTCATCTTTGATAATGACTTCAGTAAGCTGAAAGCTTAGATAGGATTAAAAAATATGTATCAATATTGTGATTTTCTTTCATCTTTCAATGATAATGTTATTAGGCTTATCAGATGATATGAAAATAATTTACATAAAATAGACAAAACTTCTCTCTCTCTCTCTCTCTCTATATATATATATATATAATAAAGATATATAATTTTAAGTTATGCTATATTTATGGGTAAAAATGCTCAATATCAAGGATAGTGTGTCTGTAAATATAAAAGTGGACATAGTATTTTGGTTAGATTACATATTTGTAATTAGGCAGTAATTGTTCATTCGAACATGTCTTATTAAAGAGAATGGACATTTTGCCCCTATTGGGTTTGTCCATCTTCCTCTCCAAATTGTGGCTAACATACTAACTAACGGTGCGACATGCTTGGATTATCTCCCAGGTCTGATATTATCAAGAAATCAACTCCTTTGTCAAATCAGGTGTGGTACAATTCAAACTCAGGTCATATGATCAGAATGCTAACATTCTAAACCAGAGGTTCTTAACCTTTTGATGATTCCAGACCCCAAATGAATTGTCCAATATGGTCCCATACCCCCTTCACTTGACTGTCGAAATAATTATCACCAATCCTATTATTTGCCAGTATGTCTTCCAAATATTTCAATCGCTTGAATTTACTGTACTTTAGATATGGATTACTAGGAATAGAACATGAAAAAAAAAAACTATAAGTATTGATAACTTTATTATATTTTTTTACTGAAAGCAAAGTAAAGTTATAATTCAGTTTTATTACACAAGAAAAAGGAAGAGAACATAAATGTACAGATTTTTTTAGTATTTTGTCTACAATAAAACAGACTTTTACCATACCCTCAGCATTTGGTTCCCATACCCCGAAGGGGTATGTATGGATACCCCCAGTTCAGAAACCCTGTTCTAAACACTTGGCTATACACTATATCATCACATAACAAACCAATCAAAATGCAAGAATTGATATTGGATAAATATTAAATAATTTTCCTTGTCTGTCAAATTCAATGAAACTATGTATAAAGGAAATATTGATGCATATATATATATATATATATATATATATATATATATATATATGTGTGTGTGTGTGTGTATGTTATATTCCGTGCGAGTTTATTTCAACAATCCTCGTCGACACTGTTATATTTGGCGTGAATTCGTTTCAAACATCCTCGTTGCCACTGTTATATTCCGTGCTAAGGGAATAAATACTTAACACCAGGTGGATACTAGAAGAAAGGTTTATTGTACACAACAAGTACAATATGAAATACGGTACAGTTATACACAGAGGTCAATCTAGTAGTGAGTGACACTAATTGGGAGGTTAGACGTGCTTGCATCATCTCATTCTTACTTTCTTCTCTCTCCTCGAGTCTCTCGTAGACAGTGGACTTTATAGGTACTTACTACCTATAGTGTAATCATTCATGGGGGGTGACTGTTTATTCCATTACATCAATATATATATGGATTGGGTTTCCGGTCCCTTCTAGAATCTTTTCATTCTCTTTCACTCCCAGTAGCCCTTTGTGTCTTAATGGCATTATCCATTATCAACTTGCATTGGGTGAATGGAATGAAATTATATATAGGATAACAATATATAAATTTTTATATATCAAGAACAATTTTCGGAGAAAGTGGGAAAAATTTTCATGTGATGTGTTTCATCTCTTAGGACTTCAATGGACGAGGTTTATTTTATGCTGATACAACAACACGCGCACGAATAAGAGATGCTTGGAATTTTAAACTTAGAAAGATTGTGTGTGTGTGTGTGTGTGTGTATATTGATGTAATAGGAAAGAACATTTAGATTAATGATTCAAAGTTCTTTAGCATTTATATTTTTAAAAAACAGTGCTCGATACAGTAGTAAAGATTAAATTATAATTATTTTTTAAAAATATGATTCCATCGCAACACAGAAATTACCATGTCTCAAAATTTGAGAATGAAACTGTACTTTAAATTTTTAAGTTTAATATTGAACTTTAGGACTCAAGTCAAGTTTCAGAATATAGTAATTTCTGTGTCGCAATGGAATCATATTAAAAAAAAAAATTAATTATATATATATATATATATATATATATATATATATATATATATATATATATATATATATATATAAAAACACTCTTCTCCACCAAAGAAAAGATGCTGAAAGCTTTTCCACACACCTAATATTTACTATGAAACAGAATAATTGCTCGCCTACAAAGAGGTACACACACACACACACACAGAATGAGGGAGGGGACTGACAAGAGTGAGGCATTCCAGAGACAACAGAGTTCAGAGTAGGAAGAGGAAGAACAGGAGTAAGCTCCAGAGTGAGTAGCAGAGCTACTAAAGAGAGTAGAAGGAGGAGGGGAGAAGAAGTAGTCATAAAAATTTGAGATGAGAAAGAAAGATGGAAGGTGCTAGAAAACCCGGGACTATAATCTTGGATCTCCTTAAGTTGTTTACCGAACTAGCAAGGATGCAACTAGGAAGGGCATTATATGATCGAAGGAGACTCCATTGTTGATTTGGGGGAGGGGGGGGGACTGGGTTCACAAAGAGCATCAGTGTAAAGTGCACATGCACTGATACATGCACACAAACAACTGCATTCTTGTTTTGCATCAACTGCAAGCTGAAAAACGCACTGCCAGCCAAATTATTTCAAAGTTCAAATTGAAGTCATTCACCATTTATTCCATCTCCCCTAACAACTTTAAACCCTTTCCAGATCCTTTGCCTTAATTATCACAATTAACAATTACTTACAGTTAATTGCCAATCAATCAATTTCTTTTTTGGGTAGAGTAAAGGTATATAAAATATAATAGTTGGCCACTCGTATTCGAGGATAACTGTCTACTAGGGCTGCTAGCCAATCCCTATTGCAGACGCTTGCTCAGGCACATCTGTGTTTGTTCAACACCCACTGAGTCCATCTGTGGTTTATACTGCAACTATGCTGAGCAGACCTTAGTTACAGTTTCTGGGAGAGAGTGTGTTATCTAGCGTGATCAACAATCTGAACAAGGCCAGCACGCTCAAGCTCTCAGCCATGATGACTTGTGACCAGGTATTGAACTCACACTCTTTTGGTCCTGTCACTGGATCTAACTAACACCTTTATCCATTGTACCATATTTCCTTGAGAATATGGCGAAAAAGATAAGGACAATAGTTCGAATAATGTAAATAGTGTACATAATAACTCATCTCAGAAATATAGAGAGATACTAATAGAGGTTTAGTGACAGGATCCAAAGAGTGTGAGTTCAATACCCAGTTAAGGCAGTGGAGAACTTGGCGAGGGGAATTAACAGGAGATAACTGATAACTTACATCCATTAGACATGGCACGTGGAACTGGAACAGTCTACCCCAGTGAGTGAAATGAAGGGTTCAGTTCGACATTCCAACCACCTGAAGAAGGCCAGAGTGTACAACAGCCGAAACATGATAAACATGGCGACAAAGATGAGGACAATAGTCCAAATAATGTAAATAGTGTTCACATGGCATTGCATATGAATTAACACAGTTGTTCTTAAGTATATACTTGTACTTGTACTTGTCATTATATCTGTGTTGATGTATTCAGCCATTTTCTTTCGATTTTATGAATCTGTTGTGCATATTTGTTTGTAAGAGTATTAATTTTGTTAAGAAAGGTGAATGACAATATTCTCCACACGTGACAATCTCTGACGTTATTTTTCAGTTAAAAAATATGAAAATAGCATTTCTCTACATTCCAGTTGCTAGGTACATTCTGTTTTTGTTTTTATTAGTTACTTTGTTCATTTAATTTCATTTTCGTATTTTGCTTTGATAAAGTCCACATTGGACGAAACGCGTCAGCAATTACCAGTTTTCCTATTGTCATTTTTATTCATATATATATATATATATATATATATATATATATATATATATATATATATATATAAAAAACATACATTGGGGTTATGAAAATTTCTCAATCTAACCAAGACAGCCTTCAAAAAATCTGATAGATCATTTAACCAGATCTTGAGAAACAGTCTGTGCTTAGACATTTTTAATCATGTCCTATGTACATATCAATATTCCTTTTTATGTGTGATGGATATGCAGATAGTGTAATGGTCAACGAGTTAGAAAGAGAAATCAGAAAGCCAATTGAATTCCAGCAGAGTTCATCACATTCACTTTTGCATAAATAGCTTAAGAATCCATTTCTTCTCCCCACCGACAAGAAAAAAAAACATCTAGTCTGACACCAAAGACTACAGCCAGAGTCACACTGTGCTGAAACACCCACTCCCTGAAAGACGGTTAAAAACTCAGAGTACTGAGGCATGACAACACACCTGTACAGGTAAATCTAATGATCTGAACACACCACAAAGAAGAGAATAAATATTCCAATGTGTACCAGTACCTACTAACAATATCTGCATTTAGTACTAGAGACAGAACATCTAACCGTAAGTTCTATGCTAAGAGTTTCTTCTATCACACTTCTTGCTTGTGGAACTCTCTTCTGGCTTCTTTCTTTCTGGTCACCTTTGATCATCAAAAGTTAAATGCAATGTCAATAGTTATCTTCTGTCTCAGTAACCCCCCTTACATCTCAGTTGCTTTATTGCCTTATTTGGGGTAAAATCGTCTGGTTCACCCTCCTTCCCGGTCTTTTGAACAGAAATATAGGTTTTTCCTTGTTCTGTTTTCTCGTCCATCTAAAGTTTTTCCATTTTCTTTCAATCCCAGTAGCCACCTTGTGTCTTAGTGGCATTATCACCTTGCTTGGGATGTCTTGATTAAAAAGAAATATTATATATTTTATCCTCTTTAGGTTTACCCATACGGATTACCTAGTTTTTCATAAACTAAATATATATATATATATATATATATATATATATATACCTAGTTTTTCATAAACTAAATATATATATATATATATATACCTAGTTTTTCATAAACTAAATATATATATATATATATATATATATATATATACACCTAGTTTTTCATAAACTAAATATATAATATATATATATATATATATATATATATATATATATACCTAGTTTTTCATAAACTAAATATATATAATATATATATATATATATATATATGAATTCAAGTCATCTGAAGATCACGTGAAACTCGGTTTACGACTAGAGCCATCCTTTCATGGGATTTAACAATGGTAAGTGCTTTTTGCTTAATCCAGGCGATCTCGGCTTTGAGCACTTTATTTTAATAAGTTTACCCTTAGGCCTTTTTCTTTCATTTTTTATTCAAACTGTATCTGGATAAGAGTCTTAGGTTTTGACAAGTTGTCTGTTGGTTCCATCAGCAATTTTTGTTTTTCTTTTGTTTTCTATTTTACCAAGTACTTTCAATTTCATCTGAGATCATCTTCAGGGATTGTATATTTATGGATGTGTTATGCGTTAACACCGTAAATTCAAAATATCTTTTTTACCTAATATGTAAGAAAAGTAACTTACGCAATTTAAAAAAAAAAAAAATTTTAAAGATTTTTTAATTGTAGTAATTTAAATTTAGCATTTTTTTAATAACACTTTGCTGCTTCAAACATTAAGAACTTTGTTGCTATACTCGCAGTTGACTTTATTTTGGGCTGTGATTCTCTTATATAAAAGGCTTCCAGAATTTTAAGTTTTTGCTTATTATTATCTTGATGGCACACTGATGCATTTTCTGTTTAAACTATGAATGTGGATATGAGGGTTCCTTTAAATGTTCTGAGATTGAACTATGACCGTGCAAGTGAAACGTAAGCCTTCTCATCATCATTGTTGTTGTAAAACCAATATATATAATAACATTTTTATCAGAGATGCAATCTTCCAAAGGAAACTTAAATTGATATATGATGTTGGCCTTTTGTAAGATGCTTGTTGTCGGCGAAGAGTTGTTATGAATGACTAGGTTGGTTGTATTAAATTTAGTATAGTATATAATTAATTCTATTTTTTTTTTACTTGGATTAGCAAATGTTGTCTAATATAAAGCTTTGCAACCATGCAAATAAACACATTAGCAAGCATCCAGATTCTTTTAACACTCTGTTAAGACTGGGATGTTTGAACACCAGGTGAAATGTTTTCCTTAATAATATTCAGCAAGTGGCAAGTCAAAATGGTTTCTGAATACCTCTGTCAAGTAACAACAAAAGGAGTTTCTGGTTTTAGTCATAATATTTGTGCAAATTACAAGGGCATAACTGTAAAAACCAGATAGTAATCACTATGACCAAAACTTATGCAAAGATCTAGTAACCATTTTGCTTATTACTTGTAATGTGAAAAACCAGCTGTAAAGGTGTCAGATTGATTATAAATTGCTTTAATTCAGGAATTCTCAATCAGGAGAGAATTCCTGAGAATTCCAGGGTTGGAATTTTTTACCTTTCCAGAAGTTTCTCATTGTCTATAATCTTCATTAAGAATAAAATCAATTTAAATACCCTGACTTTTTACTGAACTTATTTGTTTATTGAATTATGCTTTAGTTCATTTATAATTAGTTATGAATTAAAACAAATTACTATACATGTATTCAAGTTTAAAAATTCATCAACATTTTCTATTGCTATTAAATTTGTAAAACACCTCTATAAAAATAATTCAAACAAAGTACACACACTACTCAACCCAGGGATTGAACTCACAATTACTATGTCACCAAATTCACAAACCAACACTTTTACTCACTAGACCATTGCCCATTAGTAGAAATAAGTGAGTAATAACTGAACAGTACTAATTAAAAATTAAGAACTCAACACTATACCTAGAGTGGAACGAGAACAGTTTACCCTGTAGAATAAATAAAGAGTTCAGTTCAGAATATTCTGTAGGTTACCCAGACTGATATACACCTGAGGAAGGCCAGAGTGCACAATGGCCGAAATGTTATGAAAACAACAAAGATGAAGACAATAGTCTGAATATAAATTAAATAGTGTAAATGATTCCTCGTTCTAGAAATTCAGATAGAAATTACTGATGTTTTACTTTCACATTTTCTTTCTTTTTATCTCCTCTTTAGGTCCTTTGTTTTTTTTTTTGTTTGTTTGTTTGGTCTCCCCCTTTAGTTTTGTTACATTTTCTTTGTCTCCCCTTTAGTTTCTTTATTTATTTCTTAGTCTGACCTTCAGTTTTGTTACATTATTTTTCTTTCTTTCTTAGTCTCCCTTTTAGTTTCTTTGCTTACTTTCTTTATTTCTTAGTCTCCCCTTTAGTTTTGTTACATTTTCTTTCTTTCTTTTTTGTCTCCCCTTTAGTTTCTTTTCTTTTTTTGTTTTCCCTTTAGTTTCTCTGTTTGATTTCTTTCTTTATTTCATGGTTTCCTATTTAGTTTCTTTTTTGGTCTCCCCCTTCAGTTTCTTTTCTTTCTTTCTTTCTTTTTTGGTCTCCCCCTTCAGTTTCTTTTCTTTCTTTCTTTCTTTTTTGGTCTCCCCCTTCAGTTTCTGTTCTCTCTTTCTTTATTTTTTGATCTCCCCTTCAGTTTCTTTTCTTTCTTTCTTTCTTTTTTGATCTCCCCTTCAGTTTCTTTTCTTTCTTTCTTTCTTTTTTGATCTCCCCTTCAGTTTCTTTTCTTTCTTTTTTTTTTGGTCTCCCCCTTCAGTTTCTTTTCTTTCTTTTTTTTTTGGTCTCCCCCTTCAGTTTCTTTTCTCTCTTTCTTTTTTGGTCTCCCCCTTCAGTTTCTTTTCTCACTTTCTTTTTTGGTCTCCCCCTTCAGTTTCTTTTCTCTCTTTCTTTTTTGGTCTCCGCTTCAGTTTCTCTGTTTTCTTTAACTTTCTTTTTTGGGTTAATTTTGAAAATGAGAATCTGTGGGCAAGGAGTAAGCATTTCCACAGTCAGGCTTTTCTTGGCCAGTTGACAGGGAGAAACAATAATATGACCTTTTCATGTAAGCTATCATTTATGAAAATCATTTCAGATTCTTAATGGACAATAGAAATAGCCTTGTAACAGTCTTTTCAAACGTAGATCTTCCTGTTGTCTTTATCTTGCTTAAGAAATATCAAAGTTTGAAATAAGGAAGGAAATGTTGTGGGGGTGTTTGGTTAGGGCAACAAAAAGAAGAATAGAAAGAAAACCAGAAAAGAGACTTAAACGAAATAGAGCAATGATACACATATACTTCTATATGCCGTGTCCATTCAGGATGTTGGTGATCATGGCTCTCCACAATTTCCTATCCTTTGTAAGTTTTAATAAAATTTGTCTTTTTGGTATTTCTCTTAAACTCTGTTCTGTCATTCATTTACTCAAGCTGGCTAGGTAAGTTACGCATGGTTTTCCACTGTCACTCTTGCCTTCAATCTGTCTTGGGTATGATGATAAACTACAGCCGGCAGCAAAACCTCTGATTGGGAAGATTTGAGGAATGTGGAACCACCTCTTAATTGCTATTGTTCTTAGGTCTACACTGATCTGGGGTGGTAGCACCTGCTAGAGTCCCAACTATGGGCAAATAATAAACCCCCCAAAATGAGGTAAAAAAATTTGAAAGTATAAAATACATTTTCATAGTAAAAAAAAAAAAAAAAATGCCAGCAAAACCTCTGATTGGGAGGTGTGGATGAGTGTGGAACCACCTTTTAATTGATATTTTTCCCAGGTCCACATTGACCTGGAGTGGTAGCACCTGTTAGGGTACAAACTATGGGTAAATAGTGAACCCCCAAAATGAGGTAAAAAAACTGAAAGTATAAAAATGGATTTTCATAGAAAAAAAAAAAATACCAGCAATAGTTTTTAGTAAAAAGAAAAAAAATTACTCAAACTCTCAAGAAAATTAAATTTCAGCATTAAATGACCCATAAGGAGTTCATATGCCATTAAACAAACAAATCTATCCTCTGTGTACCAAATTTTCCAAGCTCATTTTCTTTATTATATGCTCGAGAAATTTCAACTATCTTTTTCTGATATTAAGAATGTGAACTTTTTGCTTCCATTTTCTCTAAAATTTGGTCACATGTTCAGTCCATATTTTTCTCAGCCTGACCATGGAGCTAGACGAATTCATCGCCTAGCAACCACCTACATTGACAAACTATGTGATGACACAGAATGCCTCCCTGATGACCTTGAATCATGTTGGTAGACATGACAGACGCATGAATGTCCGATCTAACTCGGCCAAATAAATAAATAAAAAAAAAAAAAAAAAAAAAAACTTTACTTAGCTTCTGAAAGCATCTTTAGTGATTCCTATACCTTTTCATATTTATGCATTATATTTTCCCTCGGCTGTTACAATTCTGTAAGCTTTGTGTCATATTCATAGCATTCCTCACAGTCGCTTCAAGTCTCTTCTTCATCAGTGAGGAAGCTATCCAGTGTTCACTGCCATACTGGAAATTAGATATTACATAGTGTAGTTCAGTATTCTTTTCTTTGTTTCCATCGATATTTTTCACCAGAAACAAAGAAGCAGGTGTTATGAAGTAAACAAGGTGAAAAGTTGTCCAAGTGAAGTATGGTTGGTATCTCCTCCCTACCCTGACACTGATAATGTGTTTTGCCTGCCACTCCAGGAGAGTAGGGGAAGGGAGACAGGGTGGTAAATGATTCTAATGTCCTGGGGTGGGGGGTCTAGAAAAGGGAAAATCTTTCAAAAATATTCACCTATGTTCAGTTTTATATTAAACACACAAGCTGACCACTTAAGTTAAGGCATGTATGAACTGATCAGTAAATAAATGGGTGACCACTTAAAATAGGTGTCATTTTTTTATCAAACTGAGTGTCTTATTTACTAAGTCAAATGAAAGGAAAAGGTAAAGAAAATTTTCTATTTAGGTTTGGCCCGCTTGCCTTGAAAGTCAGTATTAGAAATCATGGCTCTTACCTGAGCTTAAATACTAATAGCAGTGTTAAATCCATAACTTTTCCCACATCATGCAAGTGCAAAAGTGTCATGTTTAATGCAAGACAAAAAAAAAAAAAAAAAAAATCGAAAAACAAAAACAAAACAACAAAAACGTAAACAAAGACAAAACAAAAAACAAAGACAAAACAAAAAACAAAGACAAAGCAAAAAACAAAGACAAAACAAAAAACAAAGACAAAGCAAAAAACAAAGACAAAGCAAAAAACAAAGACAAAACAAAAAACAAAGACAAAACAAAAAACAAAGACAAAACAAAAAACAAAGACAAAAAGCAAAAAAACAAAGACAAAACAAAAAAACAAAGACAAAGCAAAAAACAAAGACAAAACAAAAAACAAAGACAAAAAAAAAAAAAAAAGACAAAACAAAAAACAAAGACAAAACAAAAAAAAGAAAGACAAAGCAAAAAACAAAGACAAAACAAAAAAACAAAGACAAAACAAAGACAAAACAAAAAACAAAGACAAAACAAAAAACAAAGACAAAACAAAAAACAAAGACAAAACAAAAAACAAAGACAAAACAAAAAACAAAGACAAAACAAAAAACAAAGACAAAGCAAAAAACAAACAAAAAACAAAAACAAACAAAAAACAAGATATAGCATCTGTTATGCACCAATGACCCTCTGAGAAGAGGGGGGTCTTTAATTTTTAATTGAATTTTTGTTGGAAATTTTTTTATGTATTTTCATGAATATAACCTTCATTTCTTTAGATAATTGAGTTTTTTAAAAGTTTTTAGGGAGGGGAGTTTAGTTTACAAATTATAATACTTGTGTCAGTTTACATGAAACTAGGAAATCGATAATATGTACAATTTTAAAGTACAAAAGCCTAAAAAGATAAGGAATTTCTTTTTCCCTGAAGTGCAGAAATCTAAATATGTGGCAAGTGTTTTAAAGAAAATGTGACACTGAAATCCAAAGGCATATTAGGATAGCCAAAGAAGCCTTCCAAAAGCTAAGCTGGGTATTAAGAAAGAGAAAAACTTTGCTAAAAGCAAAGAAAAGCGTGCTGAACTGCTACCTGATTATCAGTCTTCATTTTTGTTGTTGTTATCATAAGCCATTGTGCTCTCTGGCCTTCCTCACAAAATAATGCATTAATTCTTTTGAAGGCTCCAAGTTCTAGTGAATTTGGTGAAATAGTAATTATGAGTTCAATCTCTGAACTGAAGACAGTACAAATGGGACATGCAATAACTGGTCAGAGCAAAGAAGAACAAGGTAAGAAATGCCTAGATATGGATGGCAGAACAGATGCAATTTGACCCTTATAGAATTGTTCTGATCGAAATTCCTTGAAGGTTATCTGGATCAACAGTCATCTGAAGAAAATGGGGAAGGGGGTGTCATAATGGCTGAAATTAAAAGTGATAGATAACAACAAAGATGTGGACATTAGTCATCTCATGCCTCTTACATTTTTCTACACAAACCGGATGTTGGCTGCTCAACGACAAAAAGCAGACTGTGTAAATAGGTATTTTTTTGCGCATAAGCTCCACGCATACATCCTGCAGAGATCCACTTTAGCCAAAATAAAATGAACAATATTTTGACTAGTCAGAGCCTCTCCCATTCCAAAAAGCAAAAGCTTAATTCAGAGCTGATTGACAGCTATATATTTTCTAATTCACCCATTCCTCCTAAAACGTCTGAAACAGACCAACATTTGATATCAATACCGGCAACCTGATAGAGAGACACAACACTGACCAACGTTCATGTCAATACTGATGCACTGAGAGAGAAACACTACCAACAATGACTATTTCACCTGTAATTTCACCATTCTCTCTTCCTGTTGCCTTAGCAACAGACAGAATTTACTAGTTTTGTATATATGTAAATGAATTATACATTTATTTACCCATATTCAATGTCTTCTTTTTACATGGATTTATGTTTGCTGATGTGGAGAAGGAATTAACCTCCACAACAGTAAAAACAATAAGGTTCTGTCTTCCAGGTTACCCATTTCTGACTCTTCAACAGTCTGACTATAAATAATACAAATAATAATAATTTCCCATTGCTGAAAGCTAAATGTTCAAGTTGTCTAAAGATCACATGAACGTGAAACTCAGGTTACGATTAGGGCTGTCCTTTCAGAGGATTTTATGTTGTTAAGCAATTTTGCTCTGTCTAGGAAATATAGGCTTTGAGCACATTACTGAGTAAGTAGGCTTTAGGCTTTTTTTCAGTATTGTCGTTTTTGTTTGAGACTTTATCTGGATAACAGTTTTAGGTTTTAGCAAGTTGTCTATTGGTTTCATCAATGGTTTTTGTTTTTCTTTAATATATATATATATATATATATATATATATATATATATATATATATATATATATATGTATATGTTATAAATTAACCGATTTAAAAATATGGTTCCATCACTACACAGGAATTACCATGTTTCAAAAACAGAAACTAAGAACTTCAAATTCAATTATACCATTAAATTAAAGACCCTAGTTCTGTTTCATTTTCATGCAAATTTTGGAAAAATAAAAATATTAATAAGAACACCATATTATATATCTTACTGCTTTTTTCTTTTATTATAATAAATATATATATATATATATATAAGTGGACATTGAAGTTAACACCCAGTGGCAGCAGTCTGGTGCTAAACGCAATAGTCAGGCCATTTTTTGTTATGTCCTTGCTCAACTCTTTATATATACAGGTCAGTGATGCATTGTGGGTAGCTGATTGCATTATGAGCAAGCTAATGTATTATTGTAACAGTTGTTTTGGTGTGCGGTAAGCATACAGTTGCCTTTGGGTGTTGATTTCAATGTCCAGTTTTATATTTACACATCCCTGATATTGAGAAGTTTAACCACTCTTTACAGTTACTTACACTTCTTCAGACCACGGTGTCACTGAAGGAATTTTGCAAAATAACAACAAAAAAGACACAACACAGATCCTTCCAGAGCAGAAGTGAACATGTGTACTGCTCAA